AAAAGAACCTCGAAGCCGACTTTGAGCGCAGCGCTATGACAGCATTCAATGTGATGAACCTTTTTTTACCTTTTGAAGTAGGTTTTATTTGATTGAACCTCTACTCTACGACAACGCTGAGTACGACGGTGAGTTCGAGGCTATTGTTGTAACGGAATACTCGTAGCTATCTGGAGGGAAAAAAAAACTAATGATTACAATACGACTAATTCTTATTGTTGTAATAGTAATAATGACAATACCATAAGGGAACGGGGGCTAAAAACTTTGTATGGTCAACAGAAAAGTCAATGACATTATGAACAATTTCAAAACATTATGATGCTAATTAAGTTGCGACAAATATGTCAATCGTACATTAAAAACATTGGTAGATATAAAAAATAATTTGTGGTAATCGGTGTTTGCCTTTTTGTTAGTTTTTCAAATTTATTTTAAGTGTGTCTTTCAAACAATACCTACCGACATTTTGCGATCTAACAATGGAGGAGGATAATACCTTAAGCGAAAATAAACATGCTCGCTTTTCTCCCTATAAACTTACACAATATTGTTATATATATAAAAAACTTATATATTATCCGACTTATATGTCATCATGATATAATCACGAAAAAACCTGGTGGCGGACGAAATTCGGAATTTCGGACGAATTACTTTCTGGCCATGCTTTGGACGGAGGTTTTATGTAGACAGGGGCGGCTTAACCTATAGTGCAGGGTGTGCAATGCACACAGGCGCCGCCGTCTCAGGGAGCGCCGCGGTGCTCCCTAAGACAGCTAAGAGCAGGCCCGTCTTTACCCGCGGTGCAGGGTGTGTAATGCCCACGGACACCGCTCGTTGGGGGGCGCCGCACCGATGATGGTCTCTAATATAAATATGTGTAAAAAGTGGGCTGAGGGGCGCCAGAGCACTACTTGCACCCGGGCGCCTGTTGTGCTTAAGACGAGCCTATATGTAGATAATATTAAGCATCTAACTCTTATTGAACTGAGCCATCATTATCATCATGAATCATAGACGTCCTCTATAGAATTCCACGCCTATCGATAATACCAATAATACGATCGTCGGTACTTCTGAGATGCGACCACCTAACTCTCTAGCCATGACTTAAGCCTAAGATACGACGTCTTAGCGATTTAATGGCGGTATTTCGTCTCGTTTTACTACTTCTCTATGTCTTTTTGGAAGGTAAACGACTAAGTGGTAACGCAGCTGTCAAATCTATAATCATTATTCTTTGTTCATCCGTTCGTAGGTAATAAAGCACATGTCAAAGTAGTGAAATGAAACCAACTATCGCCACAACATCGGTAAGACGTCGTATCTTATAGCTAAAGTCATGGCTAGATCGCTAAGGCGTCATATCCTATGTCTAAAGTGATGGCTAGGGACCCGACTGCTGGTTGAGGATCTAAACACTGGGCATTGAACACGAGTGTTATTTTTCGAATGAATCTATTTAGGGTTTTTGAAGTCGTTTTAGGGTTCCATACACAATAAGTAAATCGGGAACCGTATTAATAGGACTTCAATGTCTGTTTGTCGCCAGACTGTATCTCATGAGCCATGAAAGGTAGACAATTGAACTTTTGACAGATGATGTATATCTGTTGCCGCTGCTACAACAAATAAAATAAATATTTAAAGGAGCTCTCATATAATAAACATGATTTTATTGATTGTTTCCGGTACTCAACCCATCGTGCGCGAGTCCGACTCGCACTTGATCGGAATTTATTTAAGTGTGGATAAGACATCTTGACATTTCTGTTATGTTGCGTTGCTATAAAAAAAAACTCTTCAATAGAGGTTTATTTAACTCCTATAAAGTAGCACTGACGCAAAGATAATTATTGTGAAGCGAACTACAAAGGTGGCAATTGTCACCGTCGATTTTCTTTATTGACTCCACAAATTCACAGGCGCGTCACTGGCGACCTCGCCGACTCGTGCCTGTGAAATTAGTTTCTAATTAGAGGTGTCTCCAAGGTATTAAACCTCATAAAAAATGTACAATTTTCACTTACATGTTTAGTGTGTCAATGAAGCAAAAATAATGTGCGAGCTACGCTATTTTTCTTCCAGATCTCCCGGTTACTTGATTTATTTCAAACTAGAATCAGGGGGTTAATTATCAAAATTAGTTTTCTATATATCGGTTCTTTCCATGTCCTGTCTACTCTGTGGTATTATGATTACTTAAGTTAGATCAACAATATCTATTTCAGTAAGCAAATTGGAATAATTATCTTGGGTCCTCTTTTAATAGCTTAAAAATTGTCGTACTTGTTTCAATCTGACAGCCGTTTTCTGAATTTCGAAAAGTACTAAATATCTTAATTGATTATTCTTAATAACTTAAGTTTTCTACGTTTCACAAAGTTAAAAAGTCCTAGTTTTATCAAACTACTTATCAAGTCATTCAAAAAACTTAAATCAGATACGAAAACTTGTTTAAGCAACGTTAAAGTAAAGACGTTCTTGACTTTAGGTTCTCAATTCAGAAACGTCAAAGTATGTCTAAGTAAATTCTAGTAATCTGTGTTCCAACTTCATCTAAATTCGTAACAATAGCTGTTGCAAAGTGAGATGCTATCGTAACGCATTTGGAGTCAATGAAGCATGTGTCGACCATATCTCCATTTCTCCTGAAGTTCCGACAGACCAAATATTCCTATAGCTTACAAACGTCTGCAGTCCCTGATCTTGGCACTGGTCAACCTTGGCAATCACAACGGGTCGATTGACCAGTTGTCCAATAAAATCGGTTTATGTTCGTACGATGACAATCAAACCACAATAGGTATTGACCAACCTCCTTTTCAAGTTCGCTTATAAAAATCAATGAATGGATGCAGTTTTGTATTTAAATACCACTAACGACTTCCGTAACCACAAACTGATGATTAATTAATCGATTGTTCGTTAATATACAAATATATTTACTGGTTGTAAAGTGTAGATCTTAAGTATAAAGGTCGCGTCCAGTTGCAACATTTTTTTTACGATTTTCTAGCCTTATCTGTTGATAATTAAATTCAAAGTTGATTACAGTTAATTATTATGGTAACTTGATGTGCTGATATATATAAATTATACCTATATATAAATTGAAAAGTTCCTTTATAACTTTCAAATATTTAAATAATTAACTCGGTGAGAACCAAAAGCGTCTGAGCCCATTCGCATTGGAAGACTTGCGATTTAAGTTATACGACATTTTTTGAAACACGCCTAAATGGGTGAACATGAATGAATAAATTGTAACAAAATCAGCTTCAACATTGTGATATCATGATAGTAGTATAGTATGGTATCAGTTTAATAGCCCAAAGTATTAATAGTAATACATACATACCACAAAAATATGTAGTATTCTTTTTTATTTTATTACATTGGTATTCTTTAGCTTGTTTTTCATTCCGGATGACTAGATTTCCTTTTTAATTTACATAATTATAAATAAATAAAAATAACAGATTCCAGAAATAAATAGTACCTATTAGAAGCTACCTGATAATAATAGTGTAGGTTATATTTATAGTCTTTTTAACAAGGAATAGGCAAAATATATAGAAAAATTACGCTCCCCTTATGACGTAGTATTCACGAAGGCACGTGGAAAATGTGTCAACAACAAGCAAAATTATAAATTATAAACAATAATATAGCTAAGTTATGTCCTAAATGAGTACTATACAGGATACTGAATGTGTTTGTTTACAATATTAAATCCTTGTATTGACTATGATTATGTCAGAAATCCTTATTCAATAATAGAGTTCATTTTGTTCTATAATTAACTACCTCGTGTATAGTTTAATGGGTTATGGTAGCGCGCATAAGAAACTAGTATGTAAAAATTTGTCTTCTAGGTGCATTGATACCATGCACCCGATACAACTAACCTTTTCATATATTCTAGAAGACAAATGCGGAAGTTAAGCAGATTTCTCAAAGGCTAGTCATATGATGGATGAATATTATCATGAGCTCTTCCGTGCGTTGAACTCTTGTCCACACATCCACTAGTAGGCTCTGAAAAACAAACAATAACTTCCTTATTATAATATCAGTATAGGTAACATTACGGTAGATTAATTAAATAATCTATATCGCCAAAGAACAAGAAGATTCATCGGCAAAAACAAACTTGGAGTCTTGAATCAATTATCAAGTAGGTATATTGATATTCTTCAAGCAATTAGGCGTAAAAAAAAATTTCATTCATTATGCCTTTTTGCTACTTACAAAACGATTCAATTTCTTCGGGTAATGTGATGTAATTGTCAATAAAAACTTGAGTAATTTGTGTGGAGCCATCCGTAAAATTGACCCTGATAAAAAGCCAAAGAATGTTCAATCAATGCCCTAATTTCGTTTTTTACAAATAAGGGCTGATTGAATCACTTAGAAGCATAGATAAAGCATAGATTGGTAGATGACTAGATTAAATAAAAATATGATAGAAATGAAGATGGAAACAAAGCTAATTAATATTTAAACTTTACAATAAACAATTTGTTTTACTAAATCAAATTGTTACCACTGAAAATCATAAGAGAATTATTTTATTGTTATCTTGCGATAATAGAAAACATACGGTCTAATCTGTTTCCCAAGTAACACGATTTCTTCTATTTTTTAAAACGCTAACATGACTTCAAAAACAAACGCTTTTCGATAATTTATGATGCAAAGGAGGAAGGACCTAACACTATCTTTGGTGTTCAGATAATTTTTATTCATATGATATAAAAAAATTACAACAATGATTCGAAATTATCGTTCGTGGTAAACTCTTATTGTAAAACCAACATTGACCCAATTTGAACCAGTTTTAATATTTTTATTCTTTTTACATTCTTTAATATGATTTTTCACAATATTTATAGTAGAACTAGCTACAATATATATATATATATATAAATTGATTTGTTTAATGAATATGGAAATTAAAATTTATTTATTTATCCAAATTTTTGCATTTTCAGATCTCTTGTACGAGAACTATATTCCAGATGATCCCGAAAAACAAGACAGCATTTTGAGGAAGCTGTCTGCCTACTGCGGCAAACCCATGTTCAATTTCACCACCGAAGACGAAGAGGAGCCTTACAAATGGGACTTCTATCATTCATTCTTCTTTTCGTATACTGTTGTCAGTACTATTGGTAAGTTCTACAATTATGCAGTAAATTTTTCACAAACGAAATCTAAATGAAAAATACCTACAGATATAAATACTCTTAAGTAATTATCAAAATAGTAGATATCAAATTAATTCAAGTAAATAATTCATGGCAACAAATATCTACAGTCAACAGCACCTCAGGTTATACAAAACTATAAAATTTACAAAATTTTAAACCTAAAGGCGTTGAATGTGGAGATAAAATCAATTACAGATACTGACATTCTATGGTAACCTGAAGTACTGCAGTGTGTACTTATATTAGCAAAATAATAAAAAATAGATATACTATACACATCATCAGTACCACTTACTTTTACTTTGTAAGTACCTTTACTAATAAAAAGTTTCATATGCATTGAATAGCAAATGTAAATTAAATTTCATTAATTCTTTTCACAAATAACCAAAAGTATTTTAAATTATTTTCCAGGATATGGCAATTTAGCTCCAACAGTTCATCTGTCAAGAATTCTTATGATATTCTACGGTCTTTTCGGAATACCTATCAATGGTATCTTGTTGGCTAACCTCGGCGAATATTTTGGATTACAGGTAAATAACCATCATTATATTAAAACGAAAAACTTTGGGCCAAGTTTTTATTTCAAAACTTTTAATAGCGTGAAATTTGCCATAGTGCCCGTTTACACGGAAAAAGAGGGCAGAATTAAATAAATAAACAAGTATAAGACCACAAATCCCAAATTAAGTATTTAAACCACCCAAACCAGAGATAATATAGAAAATTTCATTTTCCATATTGATCTGACCAGCAATCGAAGCTGGGACCTCCGAGATGGAGATACCTTAAAACCAGCATGCTAACCACTTCACTACGCTTATAATGATTATAATACCTGCCTTAATAATATCCGGTTAACACTTGTATTTACTCAATAATCAAAGAGAACTAATCTTTAAGAATAAGTATTTTAGGAAAGACCTAAAATACTTCTAAGTATTCTTTAATGTGTATAATAAGTATCAATGTTGTCTAAAAATCGTCAATTTCATATAGATTTCAAAATTAAAATTTTATCTAATTAAGATCTTATAATATCTAATTAAGCATAAAAAACCTAGTGTATAATAAATATCTAATAATTCTTTACTCGAAACTCACTACTTTTTTCATTTTCAGCTAATCAGCGTTTACCGCAAGTACAAAAGGCGTAACATCAAACGTGCCAACAACCTGAATTATTACTTCACTAACCTGGGAATGTTGGGTCAAATCTTCCTATACCTCGTGCCTGGATTTTTATTCTTCATTTTCCTACCGGCATGCATTTTCGTCGTCTTCGAAGGGTGGGATTATGTTGCGGCTGTATATTACGCTTTCGTTACCCTCACTACCATCGGTTTCGGCGATTTAGTTGCAGGTGAATAGCAATTAATAATATTCTATTATTCCATTGATCATTACATCATAAATCACTATCACTATTTATAAATAAGCCATCCGCTCTAAGCTGACACTATTTATTTGACTCACACTTCATTAAAATCTACTATTGTACGAACTATATGATAAATTTCCTATTAGAGTAGAAATGTAACTACATAGTAAATATACATTTGGTATTTCATTGAAATATCCTATCAACTGTTTATAAATAAAAACATTTTATTTGCAGGTACCGTCAATAATGGCTTCAAATACGGTTATTTTTTTACATACCAAATCTTCTTAATAGTCTGGATCACCTTCGGGCTTGGGTATATCGTAATGCTCTTGGGTTTTATTACCAGTGGTATGAGATCAGAGAGTGTCCACAGGATTGAGCAAAAATTGGCATATCAACTAAAATCTACTCAGAATAAAATCTTACAAGGATTCACGAAGGACATAACCAACATAAGAAAGATAATTAATGAAGCAAATCTAATTAAATTAAAGGTGAGCTTAAAAATCTCCTTACACTATTTAAGTCTCCACTCAATACTTCCATTATTTATTAAATAATATAACGTATTTTCATATTTAATTTTCAGCCCGTCTATGTTGATGCCACGCCATGCCTCTATCGAAGCTCAAGTTGTCCTACATTTACATTTGATGTTGAGCCAAGAGGACCTATTGTAAAACGAAAACGTGCTAATTCCGAAAATATCCAATTATCTGCAAAAGATCTGCTTAGAATCCAATCAGATACCGATTTGCTAGGAATCGACAAAGAAAAAACATTCACCGCTTCTGCCATTGTAAAACCTGCTGAGCTACTAGCTAGAGTTGTCAATGTTCTTGGAGGGTTAGAGTCACAATCAGAAAAAGGAATTCACATGTTTGATGATGATCATATTTTAGCAACCGAAAAATCACCACCAGTATTCAGCATAGGTCAAAATATTATCACCAACACTCCTAAAAGAACGAGGGCCTTAAGCATCGCGGTACCAAACTATAGAAAGGATTCAGTGGTAAATATGAATAAAGACCATGATTTCACGTGGACAAATGGTGATTCAGCAGAAAAATTCAGAAAAGAGGCTAACTTTAGAAGTGGAAAGCTATCATTACCAAATCAAATTTCTCCTGTTGCCATTGAAGAAACATCACAGCCAAGAAACCTCCTTCAAAGACTTTTTAGAAAATCAAGTTCTACTGAAAGTGCCGACGTTCAAGAAGTAAATGAAAACAAATCCAAACCAAGACGTGGCAGCATATTCCCAACTTTCAATTTAAGAGGGCAAGAGAAAAGTGAGGAAGATATTTACAAGGAGAAAACTAAAAAGGGAAGGTCTAGTATATTTCCTTCATTTGACTTTGGTAGAGATAGTGACGATGATATGGCAAGTGCTTACAAAGAAAAGACCAAACGTGGTCGACATAGCATATTCCCAAGCTTCGATTTTTCTGAAGATGAAGATACTGCAGCTATGAAAAGTTATCAACAGAAAACTAAAAGACACAGCATATTTCCTACGTTTGACTTTAGTGAAGACGAAGATGAACGGGCAGCAAAAGCTTACCGGGAAAAGACAAAATCAGGAAGACACAGTATATTCCCGACATTCGATTTCAGTGACCCCGATGAAGATGATGCAAAACGATATAAAGAAAAGACTTCTAAAGGAAGACACAGCATATTCCCGTCTTTTGATTTTAGTGGAATGACTAGTAACGACGATGAAGACGATGATACTATAGACGAAGAGCAACTACAAAAATATAAAAATCGAACGAAAAAGGGAAGATTAAGTCTTTTTCCTACATTTGGCAGATCAAAAAAGAGTGATGATGAAACTATGCCAGAAAGTTCTGATGAACTCGTGGAATACAAAAACAAGACCAGACATGGTCGACTCAGTTTGTTTCCTACATTTGGCAAAGATCGGAAAAACAGCACAAACGATGAACCTAATGACTTAGAGGCGAGTATACGGGAGTACCAGAGACAAACGAAGCGCGGGCGAAACAGCTGTTTCGCAGGTAATAATAAAGATGAAGGGAGCACTTCATTTGAAAGAGAATTAGAAAATTACAGAAATAAAACTAAGCGAGGTCGTGGTAGTTTATTTGACCCTGATGTTAATCTTTCTGAACTACCTGAAAACGAACAGGTGAAAGTTCTTGAACAAACAAGTGTAGCTGACTTAATTCGTGCTTTAGCTGTTTTAGAGACGGCTAATCAAAGTAGTGAGCCACACGGATTATTAGGTCTTTTATCAGAAGCAGCCGCACCACCTAAAAGGCGAGGATCCATAAGACCAGACTTTACAATGGCAACTTCTAGTCACGAAGAAACGGAAGAAGTACCTGGTCCTAGACGGAGGAGAATTTCAGCCAGAGCTGCCGCGCCGCTATTCGCTCCAACATTAGAAACCGTTGTAGCAGGAGCTGAGTTACAGTTGACTGCGGCTGCCTCAAGAGAAAATCGTATGACTATGATATCACCACCTCCTCCCTACAGTGAAAGAGATGAAGGAAGTAGTAATAATGCAGAAGAAATTCAAAAGCCGCGAGTTAGAAGATATTCCCCTGCTCCAGGCGACCCATCTAAATCCACGGGTCCAGTACCTAGACTTTTCTCACGTATGCGTAAAGACACTACGAATGTGGAAGAAGGAAGTCCAAGACGTGGTAGCTTAACAGATATAGTGATAGACAGTAATAAAGACAGCACGTAATGTTATATTTTTCACATAGCCTTTACTTCAATTTAATGTAAATAGGGAGATTAAATTATTAAATTATACTAGAATTAAGATAACTACATAAGTACCTATTAAATTTTAAGTTGTGCAATATAATGAAGTCTATATTTTTTATAATGAAATAAACATAAAAGCAGTTTTAACAAATTTAAAACGATAACTACATCTTTCATTGAACTCCTACATAAAAATTACCAGCAATCCATGCTACGAGAAAATTTCTTGATATAAATCTTTCATGAAGAATATTAACGAATATTATATTAAGAATAATAACATTCATTTTTCCTAATAGAAAATCAATATAACTTTCTATTTATATTATGAATTAATTACTTAGTTAACTAATTTTCATTAGCTGGATTGCTCCTAATGTTTTACAATGTTTTAACATTACTGTTACTGAAGACATCTCGATCGGTAAAAGTATTAAATTAAACTTAAAACGCGTGTACACACTCGAAACTCTTCCGCCTCAGTCCGGTTTCATTTACAGCTAGCTTGTAAAGGCTGATCTTCCTAAAGAAATAAAGATTGAATATTTTTTTATACTCTACCTGACGGACAAATAAACAAAAAATAGTCATCATCTATTACCTATCTTTAATAGTCCCGAGATGGGACTCTAAATCACCGCCTTTCGTAATCCGGGCGATTGCTTTAGAAAACATAAACGACGAATTTTTAGCGAAAAGTGCAGATAAATTCCTTCAGGACTGAAGTCTCGTTACCCGCAGTGCGACTACCCAACTCTCTAGCTATGATTCTAGGCATAGGATACGATTTTTACTACTATGACGTGTACTTTAGTAACGACGAACGAACAATTATGGATTCGATAGCTGTAATACCAACTTAGTCATTATTCTTTTATTTATCATTATAAAACGAAATATCGTAACCTATTTATTAATAAATAGGATAAACGTTTTTTATGTATCCTATAGTATTGTGAAAGCACAATTGATCAAATAATAACAACTTTATCTTGGCACCGAGAAGTTTTAGATTTTGTGTATCTACTTGAATCGGGTGGCTAAAGATGGCGTCACCTAGTTTTAGGATATGTGTTAAAGTTTTATATGGATATGGGCTAAAGCGTAGTCCTTGTAGTGTCACATAGAGGACCCTAAGCCGTATCATTAAAAAATTAGGAACTCCCTGGCTCGACTAGTGATCGGGTTTTTTTTTCAATTTTTTTAAGAAAATTGCTTTTTCACTTTTCAGCCACCGTTCATTATTGATCTTTAATCAAATGTGTTATAAGGTAAATATTACAATTTCAGGATAGCAAACCTATTATTTGAAATTATTTTTTAAATTAAATATTAAGTTTTTTTAAGACTGTTGATCAAAATTTCAGCTCGTCTAGTATAAAAAAAAAAAAATAGCTATGTAAACATAGCTGAACAAAAAATTTTAAAACTTGTGTCAATATATTCTAGTTTTTTTAAACCGTAAATGAGAATTCCATAATTAATTTAGAAAAACGTTATTACCATTCAGAAATTAAAAGAGGCTATTTTATAACTTATTACTATTCCATTAAGAGTGTCCCAACATATTTCATACGTTAACTCTCGAAAGTAAAATATAAGTTTTTGAAATAAATTTTTTATATAGCGCCAATTGGGTATTGAATTTTGAACTGTACTATCATAATAATTTAATGAAACAATAATAATTTATACTAATATTATACAGTCGGATGACATAATTATTTGTTGTTGTACATTGAACAGGCTCCGGAACTATAGGACCTACTTTAAAAAATGTTCACCTTCTGAAAACTATGTGAGACACGGGTGATATAGGTTATATTTACGCGGGCGAAGCCGGAAGAAAACCGCTGCTATTAATACTCGTATAAGTAACCAATAGTATAATAAGTAACCACGATCGTTATCGTTAAGCAACTTTCGCAAGGGTCGGTCACGGGATGGGTGACCTAAAAATTATTATCTCGAGCTACTCCGTGCTTCGGAAGGCACGTTAAGTCCCGGCTGCATTTGCAGTCGTTAATACCCTCCAATCCGCATTGGGCCAGCGTGGAGGGTCATCCTCCTTAACCATCCACAAGGAAGGCCTGAGCCCCTGCAGTGGGGACGTAAAAGGGCTGATGATGATAAGTAACCAAACAGAATAGATTTACTTTCTTTAAATAAAATAAAATAACATGTTTTAAGTGATATAATTTAATTAGTACCACCGTTGACAGTGATCGTGATTAGTCTTTATGTGTATTTGCTATCAAAACTATACTGTAGGATCTATAATATTTACACTAATATAGTGTACTTACAACAAAATAAATAACGTAGCAAATTTGCATGTAACAAAAATAAATGGAACACATTGCAATTACCAGTTCAAATTTGAAGTCTTGTCTTTATAATCAAATTAAATGATAATATCAAATTATTTGGTGCATCAGTTTGTATCATTATAACATTTTATATATATAAATTGAAGGCAGTCGATCTTTTAACTATAATGAATATGTAAGAGCTAATTTATACAAATTAAATATACACTAGATATTGGTGGTGATTTTTTATCCTATACACTAAAATGAGTATTTCCAACACTTAACAATAATACAGAACGGTTTTGTAACACTAATGCTATTTACAATAACAAATCAATATTATATATGGTGTTCCATCGTCGCGAACTTTGGACGTAAAGGTATCTACGTCGAGTCACGCCCGTACCAAAGTACGGAGATCACGTTGTGAATATAAGTCATGTCTCCTAAGAGAACTACTTCAGGAATCAAGTCGCTAAGCGATCTTGTCTTAAGTTTTTATCTAAATCTAAGCTTAAGTTCGAATAACACTGATCTATATTTGTTTCTTTTGTTAATGACTCGAATATTGAGATAAGGTTGTCGAGGCCTATGAGGTAACCGTCTTCGTGATTGCCGACCTTCCAGGCGGTTTTGTGGTCGATGTTAACGTTATCTGGGACGGGAACGGTCTTAGCGAAGTCTATCATCCAGATAGAAGCACGTTTCTTGTCGTGAACGAAGAGGAGTGAGCTGCCAATGAGCTCGTGTGTTCTAAAGAAATGTGACTCTTGGAGTGTGGCACGGATATTCCTCAGCCTCTCCAAATATTTGGGCTGTAATGAGAAAATATAATTTTTTATTAATACCGTTAATAATATTATTATCAGAGGACTCATTGTAAGTTTTTTTGATGATAACCGACACAGCGCCTCTAGTAGCTAATCTCCATAATACATAAACTAATCTCCATTCAAATTCAGAACGTGCTCACCAGGCCATATGGCTTGTTATATATGCATACCAAGAGCTATGTGATGGAAACTTACTACTTTCCAAAAACCAGACATACTTAGTTAATATTCACTTTTATCTACTATCATCAGATCTCATCGACTTTATCAATCATTGGATCTTGACGGAAGTTGGTAAACTTTACTTATCGAACCAGAAACCGAGAACTGTATACTAAGTAAACGAGCTCCATGTAGAACAACATATTTAAGCAATATAATTAAAGTTTGTTTTGAACCTGTATCATGCTTTTTGCTATCTTCGTTTATTGGAATATTTCAACTATACTAACTACTGCAGCTATAAACAACAAGCGCATTTACGTAAGGTTTGTTATCTTTTTTTATTTCAGAGGAGTTCGTGATCATAAAACAACAACAACTTGTTTTCTTTCTCACGTTTGTGCAGGTGTTGTTATAGCAAAGTAAGTTTATTCTATTAATGAAGCTGAAGATTGTCTGGGAATCCTACTAATTGTATACTCACAATAGAGGATTAAGCGTCATCCAACATACTGCATATAAATAAATGTTTATAAGATTACTTGATTGCTGTCCTTATGCATCTATATATTTATATAAAAAACTCGCCTTTGCATTTTTTACCACGTGAAGGATATACTTTTGATTGGTATTAAGAACACATATAAATTGAGAAGAATAAAAACGAACCGCAAGATAGAAAATTTTAAAACTGTCATTGACTCTTACATAATTTAATTGATAGAATATTATTTTCCGTTAGAATTAAGAGTTCATAATTTATTTCTAATGCAATAAATATTATCATTTAAAAGCTATAGAGAAATGTATGTAACAGCAAATTTGGACATCAAGACTAAGCAAATACTAAGTGACTTGAATCAATACAATAGAAGTATCAATGTATTTGTGTACCGATCTCAGTGTTCCGAATTTATCAGTCGATTCTCTTAGAAAAATAAACAAATCTTACCACAGAACTAGAGAAGTTGTTAGTGAATTCCTTGAAAGCTTCTAGTATCTGTTCTCTCGTTTTAGTCGTCTTAAAGTCTTTAGAGCTTGTCCCGTCCGCTTTCTTTACACCATCTATCCTAAAGCCCAATGTCGCTGTTGAGCTGATTGTTTCTCTCCAGATCATGTATCGAGGCTTGGTGACTCCTTTACTTCTATGTTCTTCTTCTGTTGGTGCTTTAGGATCGATTTGTATCATTTTCTCGTACATATCCTGAAAATGTACACGATACTTTTAGAATAAATAAGACCATCATCAGATTACCGGACTTCTATTTTTACATCTTTTGTTGTTCGGCAAGTTAACTGTTCAAGAATATCTTCAAATCTGTTAACCTAGTTTTTTTTACTCTTTTTATAGGTAATAAAACGATAGCCGGTTCATAATGTTTTGAAACACATCTCAGTTTTATACAATTATGATTTCTTGTTATAAAAGAAGTACATGTTATAAGACTCATTGTATATCTTAAAATGCAGCCAGAATTATAAGTTAGCAAGATTTTACCGGAATATTTGAGTGTATACCTGCTTTGAAAAAGAATTTTCGAAAATTGGTAGAAGATGTAATGGTTACTTCTTTTTTATTTTTTATTAAAATGTAGCGAAATTTAAGTGATCTCTGACAAGTAACAAATTTATAAAAGGGTCTCAAATTTCAAGTGTCTATTTATTATGCTCTCATTATAGGGGTTGAACAAAAACTATTTCCTAGTAATTATTCTACGGGATGTAGAGGTTCTAGGATGGTATCCCTATTTTATAAAATAACTTAATATTTCTAAAAGAGGGTACTTCTACTCACTTTTCTTAGCTTTGTCTTCTCTTTGGCTTTAGCCAACTCCTCTTCTAAGTAAGTCCTGACGCCAATTTTGCAATCCATCACGCAGGGGCAGTCGAAATTGCTTAATAAATCTTGCAATTGTAAATATACTGTTTGAAAGTACTCGGTTAAGAAAATTAAGTCATTTGGAATATGAAGTAATTTTGATATTATAATAATTCAAGATAGTGTCTTAAATTTTGAATTTTCTTTATTTGATATTGTTATTTAATTAATAAATAATTAAATGGATGTTGCGAATAGATTAGTAGACAAATATTTAAATAAAAATTAAAGTATGAAATAACTACCAAGAACTCATCATCAGCCCTCGCAAAGGTTGTATAACTTCCACAATAGCAAGTAACCATTTTATTTAACGTTTGGCTCGACTGTCCCATTTTTTAAATGATTAATTAGCAGAAGTACGAGAATAGAGATTGGTAATATGATTCTAACCTCTTTTTCTGCGCCTAGAATATGTCTGATGTACAAACTTCCATTAAAATAGGCATTACTTTAAAGCGACTTTACGACTTCACAGATACAAATTTTCAAATATAGAACATTACGTTATTAATGTTATAGTCATCATTAAACCTTTTTTTTTTGCAACTGGGTGTGACTTTAATAAAACGTTGAGCAATAATTAATGTGAAAATAAATTGTTTCTTTATCGAAAAGGATACATTCTCCATCTTCGCAGGTCACTTGACCTTTATATTCAGGTACGAACGGCCGCAACACATCCTTCATCAGCAACTGTAATTAAAATAGAATCATTAAGTACATCCTATTTGGAATTCAAAATATTGTTACCCAAATTTTTTTTAACATAAAATGTTGTGCTACTCAACTCTACCATTAAACTATAAACCTATAAAATTATCTATACATATTAATAACATAAATAAGAAACATTTGACTGTTTATTTGCATTAAATAGGCTCAACAACAATGGCCAGATTAAAAAAAAAATCTACGAGTACCATTGCATACGCCAAATAGCTGAAATATATGGGTCGAACTTTTAGTTTAGTTCAAACTAAGAAGTAATACAAATGTCCTACTTGATATAAAAGAAAAAGGATAAACTGAAACTTCTCCCTACAACACTATTAACTAAACAAACTAATTAGGAAAGGGTTATCTATTATACCGCTATGTAGTAATACGCGTAGTGAAATAATGCGTAGCTTGAAATCAAGAGTGAATGGTATACTACTTAACCTAAAATAAGCCATGTTAATTTTGAGATAACGCATAACGTTTTAATGTAGTAAAAATATAAAAGTTCATAAGTATACTGATAAGCATTTAAATACAGAGTTTGTCTTTTCAATGTCAACGGGCCGTTTTGTTAACGTCATTGCAATATCTTGCTTTTGAAAATAACTCAACTATTGGTCAGCTTATCTGACGGCTAAAAGTAATTCTAATGACCCTAGCGACCGATTATGATGTACTATTGGTTACTGGTGTCTTAGCTCGCGTGTGAAATGGATAAGCAACATGTTGGCTAGCACGACCGGTCTACGATACGATTGTTAAGCAACTTTGGCAATGGTCGATCATAGGATGGGTGACCAAGAATTTATTATCTCTAACCCCTCTCTGCTTCGAAAGACACGTAAAACGTTGGTCCTGGTTGCATCTGCAGTGGTTAACACTAACTAATTCTCTCTTCTCCCTATTCGCTTCATAGGCAAGACCTGAACCTCAGCATTGGGAACATTAATAGGCTGATGATGATGATGTAAAAAGTTGCCTGTGTCACCCTCTCAACTATATTCATACAAAAAATCACACCATTAAGAAGCTTCGTCTCGACGTAAAAGAAGGACAAATTCACAAACTCTCCAATTTATTATATTAGTTAGAAGAACGAATGTTTAAGTAGCCGTTCACGATCAATATCACAACGTAAGCTTGACTAAAAAAGCATCTCCAATCGCCTTTAGACCCTAGTTTTATTTTATTTAATACTTTATGCACTAATATACAAAGACGGACTTAATGCCTTAGGCATTCTCTGCCAGTCAACCTTTAGGTGATGTGGAGACTAAATATAAAGTAAAGGTAGGTACATACCAATACACTTAAACAATAATACGTTAAGTAGCTAATGGTGAAATAATTTTTAGTGGCGTTCAAATCGTTTTCGGTTATCTTCGGATATTCATTAAGAGAATTATTTTCGGAAACGTTAAAGTCATAAAATTATGGCGTCTACCGATTGGTGACGTGAGTCGTTCGGTTCTGAATTACTTAACAGCATTTTAAACTACTGGGCTTGTTTCTTTCTTTTTAGTTTTTATTTAAGTTAATTTTTTCATTTATTTTTTAAAATTCGTTTTTACGCAGTCGGGTTTTTTGTTTTTCTTTAAATTATTTATTTTTTATAAGTTCCATTTATCTAAAATTCCGTAACAAAAGTACATTTTAACACTCTATTTGTCATACCTAACTGTTTTTTGTGTAATAGCTATTTACCAGCGATTTCGCCAGTGTAAATTAAAACTTATGTCACCCACGTATGATGTTGTTAAAAATTTTTATAAATTATAGAAAATGCTGTTCTATGTTTTCTTATAGAAAGAAATAGTTCTTCTTTATAGTTAATCTTTATTTCGTCTATAAGAAATGAGTTTACTAGACTCAAATTTAATTAACACAAAAAAGAATAAAATACCTATTATGCTTTATCAGACAACACCGCCAGGGGAATTTATCGACGGGGAATAACAAAATTTGTTTCAATTATTTCGCAATTAGGCAATATTTTCTTTGACAGCAAAATATGAACTTCTAACACAAACTAACTCAGTTTAAAATTCTTGTGGTTAACGCAATTAAATTATGGTATAAGTGTTTCGTTTGGAAATTTAATTTGAAATTGAATTTTATTTTTATTTTTCCGCTGCATCAAAATAGACTTTATTTATTCTAAATTGATTATACTTAATGATTGATTAAGCTACCGTAAATGATTTTGCTTAAAATTCGCCAAGAGTTTATCATAAATTTATTAAAATTAATTAATCAAACTTTAGTTATAAATCCGTCACATCTACTTTACCAATATGGTATACGCAAACAACTGATGATATGACTTTTTTTGACGTCACTCGTAAAAAAAGTCTTAAAATTACCAAAGCCTCGTTTGACTTGCTTACTAAAAACATAGGAAGCCCCCGGGAGCTTCGAATATTAGAACAATTATTAAAATACCAAGAACCTGTGATAAATATTTTCCATTAAAATAAAACTGTTACTCATTCGTACAAAAAGTTATTCTGAACTGCAGAACAGACTTACTTTAAAACAGGTCTCCTCTTGCGGGCACAGTTTCTTAAGTATCGTTCCCTGATCAGGTCCAGCCTTAAAGTTCCCTTGGTGACCAGCTAACTGGATCCAAGGGTACCGCTGTTTCTTGTAAGTCTGGAAGAACGGCGTCCACTGCACTATGTTGCGGAGTTTACGCCATCTTTCCGATTGCTGTAAAAAAAAGAATGTAAGATACTAAGTTGCAATTGTGTTAAAAATAAAATATTTTGGATTGTTATTTTTTTTTTTATTTGTCGAAGAAGTTTATACTTTAAAAGACATTTGAATTACATCAGTGATCGTAGTCAAGAGATATATGAGTAAAAAATTTATATCTTTCTCTAATCTAGGTGATGACACTGATGCAACTGTTTTAGCTTACTTATTGTATTATCTAACATTTTTACGTTTATATTCTATTTATATAAAATGATATAACCCGTTATGCACATCAAAGTTCTTACATAAATTATAGTAATTATTTGTTCATTACATAATTTCTGGATTGCATGTCATCGGTATTACGTGACTTATTAAAACGTTAATCATTAAATAATTGTTATTTTTATATGAAAAAACATTCGTCTAGGCTGTGTCATTTAAAAAAAAACTTTTGACTGCATGAGAATCAAGTGTCTGTTCACGAAGGCCAAAAGGAATGGATGACTTAATAACATGCAATCGTGGTAATATCATAAAGGTGAAAATTTGTAGGTTTGGATGTTTTTTATTTCTTCGCGCAAAAAGTATCGAATGGATTTTTGATAAATTTCGTGCACAGATAATTCCACACTTGGATAACCATATTGGCTACTCCTTATCGAACCAAACGGTAGATACCCGGCGGGCTCCTTGCCGGATCCCGGGTCCTTCCTACCCGAAGGATACTGGCAGCCTCCGGGTAGCAGGTCGAAGAGCTCTGGTTGCATTGCATTTCCCTTGCGTTAAAAAAAAGGGGACTAACGGAAGGTGACGTCAAGTATTCATGTAATCACGTGGGCGAAGCCACTGGCGGATATCTAGTTTTCACATAAATAGAACCAGTGGCATTTTATTTTTGCTTTTATAAAGCACAAGTTCTATACCCTTATCTAATTATTATACTTGATAATTATTAGCTTATAGAGGTTAGCTTTCCTGGTTCAATATCTATGAACTCTCATTATTATTCTTGCAATTTAATATTACCTATTTAATTAACTGTTGGCACATTAAATAAAGTCATCAAGATAAATTGAGGCTTGATCTAATTAAATCTAATTAATCAAACTGTTCTACTTTATTAATTCGCAGTTTTGTAATGCCTGTATGTACTCGTATATCCGATACCATAATATGTCTTTCTGCAATTAATTTTGTACTCTGTTTTCATCACACTAAGCTTTAAATCTAGTGATAGATATTAAGATATGATTTGACATACTGTTGATTACATTACCATACACTGCATTCCCGTGTAAGTTAGGAACAGGTACAACATTTCTTTGCTGTTAATTTGATTTATATGAACAATAGAAAATAAAAAAACGCATTTTTAAAACCAATTACGATGTTAAAAATATTAATGTTGAAAAAAAAAATACTTGAAGCTACTTTTCTTTGCAATGAAAACTAGTATAAAAGCTACACACTACTTAAAAAATACATTATGAATAATATATAAAGTTAACTAATAGCCAAAATGCATTGCATTTAAGACCTGCAATTACGTGATATCCTATTAATATTATAAATGTGAAAGTTTTTTTGTTTGGATATTTGGATGTTTAGATGTTTGTCCCTCAATCACGCCGAAACTACTGAACGGATTTTGATGAAATTTGGTATACATATAGGGTATTAGCTGACTTAGATAATAGGATACTTTTTATCCCACTAAACCTTTATAACTTTTTTTCTCACATTTAAAATGCATACAAATAGATTATAGAGATTGATAAGTGGTGGTTGTCTCTTTAATTAGTTAACCCAGTTAATTAAATATACATGATTGTTTATCTATGTACTTACAGGAAAAATTGTAATTAGTGCGAAAATGTTGTATTTTTATGTTGTTTTAAATTTTCATGGTGAATAACACATTCGGTCTACGATGCGAAAGTTAAGTTACTTTCAGAAGGGCCAGTCATAGGATGGGTGACCAAAAATTTGTTATCTCGGACTTGACGGGTCGTGACTCACTCTTCCTATTTTATACGATTCCATCCAAAGGGAAGGCCTGTGCTCCTCCAATGGGGAGATTAATTTTTTCTATGAAGGTTTGATAGAGATTATTAAGGTTTGATTTTATTTTTCTGTTGAAAGATATGACAGCATAACAAAGCATGTTTTAGGAAAGCCAACTAAAATACTTTCAAAATCCACTAATTACATTGGTTCCTACGTACGATTAAGTCGATCATGACGCCATTGAATCGTGTTCTAATGTCTTACACTATGACTTATCAAGCTCAACTTGGCATTTGTTAAAAGTCCCTATTACCAACTCATATCGCATGAAAAGCTTAATTCTTTTACAATTTAAACGAGATAACAAGTAGCAATCCATTCCTTATCTGCATATCAGATCTGCATATTTTAAGACGCCATTATTACGTAAACAAGATTAATAATGGCGTCTCGCATCTTTACTACTGTATTATCTAACTAGAACTTAACATGATAAGCGTAATGGCGTCTTAATAAATCATCAGTGACAGCTATGTTTGTGATTTAGTAACAAAAATTATGTCAAAAAATCATTGTGAGCCAAAATAACTCACACATTAGCAGAATAGAGGCCTAGGATTAACATAGATAGTTTACCTTTCTCTTTCTTATCTAAAATGGAAGTTTTCCGTTCGTCAACGTGCTACATCTGAATTGGTACTTTGACCATTGTGTTAATGTGATTGAATAATAACTAATATAAATAAATTAAACCAATAGTAGTACGTAAACTAATTAGCTACGATAAACACGATATAAACAGGTAAATATTTATTAGTACGTATCAATTACAAGCTAACGTGACGCGAGTGTTTTATTTCAATACTACGCAATAAAGTGGCTATTTATCGGTAATGTACTATTGCTAAATTAATTCACTGATATATAGTTCGTATTTTTTACAAATTATTTTTATTACAATTATTATTACCTATGTAGAATATCATAGTACAGAAAATATTTTATTGACGTTCACACACAAAATAATAATAATAACAAAACAAGTACAACTTAAAATCATCACATGAATAAAAGGTTAGGTACCTCTCTCAGCTAACGCCATGGTCCAACACAGTAAGGACGCTGATATTCTAATATCTATGTCGCATTCATACCCTTAGATGATACATCATCACCAGCCCTTTTACGTCCCCACTGCAGGAGCTCAGGCTTTCCTTAAGGATGGTTAAGGAGGATGGGCCATGATCCTCCACGCTGGCCCAATGCGGATTGGAGGGTATTAACAACTGCAAATGCAGCCGAGACCAACGGCTAAACGTGCCTTCCGAAGCACGAGATAATAATTTTTGGTCACCCAACCCGTGACCGACCCTTGCGAAAGTTGCTTAACGACTACGATCGCAGGCCGCGGCGCTTTTCAACCGAGCCACCGAGCTACACATGATGATACATGACTTAAACTTAATTATAAACTTGTATCACCAATCCTAGAGTTGCACAAAAGTCCATTAAAACTGTTATTAGTGTAATGAGACATTACCAAAACTTTTCAATTTTAGAAAATTCATTAGAGTTTAAAGTGTTCATTTAACCTTAATGTACGTTTTTTAGTAGCGATTTAACCAGTGTAATGCCAATTTGAAATAGATGTAAAACGGCATATGTGGACTCTGTTATTTTAATTTATTGCTCTATTATACATATTTTATTCTTCTTTTAATTTTAACTTTAAAAAGGATCGATGCACTTCTTAAATTAAATAGTTTGGTGCATTACGCCTGGTAATTAGATTGATTGGAACTGAGGATGATGGAGAAGGAGTGAGAATTTTGCAGCAAAATATTTTTTTATTAATTACTCACAAACTATTATAAATATTGTAAAATTGCGAGATAATTCCCTTGGTTACAAAGGGACTCACATATTTATCAATTAACTCTATTTTTTTTTTGTTTTTTCAGGTCATATATAATATTATGAATTTGAGGAGTAACTTGTGATTTTTTTTCTATCGACTCAATTTTACATAAATACACGTCTCTGTTCCAGAAAACTAAAAGTATGATGTAATTTTCTCATTTTCATTGCAGTTTATTTGGGCTTTCTACAAAAGTATTTGAAAATTACTGACTTTGAGTGTACGCGCCCTCTTTAGCTCAGCAAAGGCGTACGCTACTTTTTGTTTAGATTTTTCTCTATTTTTTTTACTTTCTATTATGTTATTAAATATTTTATAGCAAGCTATGTTAAATATTAATTTGTAAATCTGAATTCTTAAAATGTATAGTAAAAGTTATTTACGAGAATTAAAATAAAGAGCATAAATTACCTTATTATTATTGAAAACATATGCGAAGAAGACGACATCTACAAAATCCTCAATGGAAAAGTAGTTGATTTTCGACTGCATTTTTGTAATATCACCAGAACAATCACTAGGACAACCTTAATTATAGATCACTTTGTTCTATTTCCAAAAAAAGGCACAGATGAACCAAACAGTTTTACCGAGTATAGAAAACTTTTTACGCTCAACACGTGTTCGAAATTTAAGAATTTTATTATATCTAAACGGTATGTCAAATCTGTTCGAAGTTTAGAGACCAACTGAACATCGCTGAGCTGTTATTGACAATATAAGCTACAATATGTTTCTGTGAGTCACTGTGGGCGGTAAAGACACCATGCCACATCGGTGTGACGTCAATCAAATACGACACTTCTTATGTAAAATGTCTGGCTATTGGTTGGATTCCGGTTTTGCGGCCGATACGATTTCGATTAACCGCAATATGCAGTTTGTTATACAAAAAACAAGCCCTATGGATTATTTTTACATTCCTTAATTAAAATACTATCAATGAGTTTTATATAAAATCGACTGGAACCTTAAATTAAACGTAAACTTTAAGTAAACTTATTCAAAGTTATAACAGATTAATGATAATTGATGCAAAACTACAGAAATTTATTTTGTAATTAACACCATTACGAAATTCAAC